AGGCCGGGAGGGGACCGCCGAAGCGTGCATGATTGCTTAGCGAAGTACAAGGCCAGGCCTGTCTGCTGACCGTGGGAGACGCCAGAGCTGTGAGAGGCTTTGTTGGGAGCAGCAGTTACCGCACGGCTCTGGATTAGAGCTCCAGAAAGTCCCCGGCTAAGCAGAGCCCAGGCAGCCTCTGCCGAGTCCTCGGGCCTGGCCCTCTGCAGAGGGGACGGGGTTTGGAGAGGGAAACGGGATGCACAGACCCACCGGCAGCTCTCACCTTACCAAACCTCTGCTCCAGCACTTCGTGTTCCCACTGAAGATCCTTCAGTTCCTTCTGGGTGACTTTCAGCCAGGCTTTTGTGTTCTGCGAGCAGGAAGCGATAGTTAAAGAGCGCGGGTTTCTCTGAGAGGTGTGGGGGACGTGTTCTGGCAAGGGAGGAGAGCGACCAGCAAAGAGAGACTGGCCAGAAAAAACAGGCATCACCCGCACCAACTCCCCTCTCTGCAGCGGGGACCACTCTGGTTGCTTGCTGCCAGAGTCCCACCTGAGATCTTACAAACGCCCGGCTAAGCTGACAGGGACTCAAAAGCTTTGCCCAGTGACCTGGCCAAGCCAAGCGGCGGAGGCCAGTGCTGAGCGACCCCCCGCAGGGAACAGCCAGGGTGACTCGGGACAGGAGAGGGCTGGCCACTCACTGTCAGGGCTTCCTTGTCCTTGTCGTAGTGAGCCAGCTTCTTCTGCAGCTCAGACACCTGCTCCTGGGCCTGCTGCAGGGGCTCCTTCAGCTGCTTGTTCTGGAGCAGCACATCCGCCTTCTCCTTCTCCAACTGAGTCTCTTTCTTCTTCATCTCTTCCATCTGCTCCTGTTCTTGGGAACACAAACTCCTGGAGGGGCCATGCGAGCGGGGGCTGCCCAGCTCCTCGGAGTTTCCCACGCTGGCTGGACACCCTCGCGCTGCTGGCCCAGCGAGATGCATCTCCCTCTGCTCGAGAGCTTTGCTCGTGTAACGGCGTACAGCCCCCAGGAGAGCGGTAGCACCCACATGGGCAGATTTGGGTGAAATCCCCACAGGACCGATCCCCTGTGGAAGGGTGATGCTCTGAGCAGTACCTTCAGCAAGCTGATGAGCGCCAGGTTTTTGAGGGTGATATCGTTGTAGTAGTTCTTGATGTCACTGAAGGCCTTCTCGTGGCTCCTCATCAGCTCGCTGATCTGGCTGTTCTTCCTCTCCTCCACCTCGTGGATCTCAGTCTTCCTCCGCAAGTCCAGCTCATCTCGCAGCACTTGCATCTTCTTGGCATACTTGGCCTCGATCTCTGGGGGAACACACGGGGGGCTGTGTGAGGACCTCCGGGAGACCCCGCGTAACGCGCTCAGCTCCGTTAGCCAGCACCAGCCCGGCGCGTGCCACCGCAGCATTACTCGAGGACAAGACGCTCGTTAGCGGCGTCACCGCAGCTGTCACTAGCGTGCGGAGCAGTTTACACTGGGACCGAGGAGATCAGAGCCTAGAAATAGCATCCTTGGAAAGAGGGCACCAAATCTGCCTGCGAGAACCCGAAACGTCCCCCGAGGAGGAGACTAGAGTGAGGACTCTGCAAGGGCTCCTCCAGCCAGCCCACCTCATTCCGTTTGCCTGATGCTGGGGGTCTGGCAGTCCCAGAGCATGGGGGAGCAAGAACTGGGGAGAAAACTGGCCAGAACTGGGGGAAAACCATCCCAGTGCTCGAGGCTCTGCTAGGGAGCCCAGCAGCACAGCAGGAGCTATGCGTGCATCCTGACCTTTCACTTGTCTCTCAAAGTTGTCGCACAGCCGGGTGATCTCCTCCTCTTGTTTCTGTTAGGGAGAGGCTACGTGTCAGAGGCAAACAACCAAATCCTGAGTCAGCCACATCCCGAGGGATTTCCTCCCTGGCTCCCGCTCCCGCCATGGCACCAGTCCCACATTATCCATGCAAACGGCGGCTCGTAGGCTCTCCAGCTGCTCTCACAGCTCCCTGTCACGGGGGGGAGGTTCACAGGAGCTGCCCTTCTCCCCGTTCCTGCACCGACTTTCTAGTGCCTCTAAGTCCACCCGTTACCGGTGCCTGCAGGAAACCCCATCCCACGCCGTGGAGGGAGCCGGCGGCAGGCTCCCGCTCACACGCTGGGGCTGGGAGGGCTCAGCCGGAGGCCCCACCACCTTCCGCTGCCCCACCACCTTCCCCCACCACACAGCTCTGGCGTACCAGGGACGTACCAGGCGCATGTTTTTCACCACCACCTCGTTGGCCAGCTCCTGCTCCTTCAGCTCCACTTTCAAGGAGCGCATGTCTTTACGCAGCTCCATCTCCTGGGCCCAGTGATCCTTCTGGGCCCGCTTGATGGACAGGGTGCCCTCCGCCTTCAGCTCGGTGAGGTTTTCTTGGTGTTCGTACAACAAGTGCTTCACCTTCTGCTTGTAAACCTAAAGACCGCGTGAGGGCAGGAGACCCCCGGAGCTGGGATACTGGCCGAGACACTCCTGGCTTGCATCCCACCCAGCTCCTCCTCCTTTCCCCCTTCCCTCTCCTCCTCAGAGCTCACCCGGAGCTTGGGGCACCCACACCACCTCCCAGCCTTCTCCCCTCCCACCTTGATCTCCACTTGATGCCGCTCCTCCGCCTGTTCCATCTCCCGGTCCCTGTTCCGCAGCTCCGCTTTCTTCTCCTCCAGCTTCTGGCGGGTGATGTCCCAGAAGGTGTGAATCTTGTCACGCTCTAGCTGGAAATAGTTACGCTCTT